ACCTGTAATATATTGATGAAAAACAGTATGATAGGGGACCTTTTTAAAGAATGTTCCCACTGCAAATAAAGCCTTTTTTTCTGAGGAAACAATGTTGTTCTCGTCAGGGTTTGAAGCCGCAGAGCTTCAGGAACCCGTACGACATCCCGCGCAGCCACCTGCTGGACCAGCTGAGCCGCATGAGGAGGAACCTGCTGAACACCACCGTGTGCACGCTCCGAGGGCACGACTCCGGTTAGTCACTCTCATTCTCACACTCACTGAACCGATGTGTCATTACACTGCTCCATTACTCTTTGTTACCACACCCAAATCTGATGTCAGCAAGAAAAGTTCAACATCTCACTGAATGTCAGGACAGGATTATTTTTAAGCTAGTGTCCAATGACTCTTAAGGTGAGACACTACACGCAAAAACATTTTGAATGCAGCGGTTGAGTTTGAATGAGTTTGAGCTAGTTTGATTCCACATAATGTCAGACAAGTGGAAAGAAAACATCCCAAATTCACTGTTTAGGTGTTAATTTTACTACATTTTGTCGAGCATTTTGTGAGTTTATTTATGTCCTAATGTGAGTCATCAACTGGAAAAGTTTCAAGTTGAATTGTTATGGGTAAGATATTGACCCTAATCACCTGTAGTTTCTCCCCTCAAAAGCAAAAAGTCTACATTTCTCTCTTTCTCTTTGTGAATGTCCAGACCAGCTCCACAGCGTGCCGATCGCCCAGATGGGAAACTACCAGGACTTCCTGAAAGCCGCTCCTCAGCCGCTCCGAGACGCAGACCCCGAGCAGCCCAAGCGCCAGCACACCTTCGGAAACCCCTTCAAACTGGACAAGAAGGTAAAACATCAGCACTTAAATATCCTTTTTCACGACAACTCAGATCTTCAAAGTCAACTTTATTGTCAATCTTCCAGTTTGTGTGTACAGAAACATGTACTTCTCACACAAGTACATGTTTACATGCAACTGCACCTTATATTCTACCTCACACCGTTTTTATAGAACACATCATTATTTCTAGTTTTGTAATTATCAACTGCACTAAAAAATACACAACTTACTTATTGACTTGTTTACATTTTGTACTGCCTTGAGCGTATTGTTCTCGTATTGTTTTGTAAGCGTACTGTCCAATGTATCACAGCTCCAATTTATAGTCACTTAACATATTATGTATTAAAAGTTTTAGCTTGTATTGTCAAAATTATACTCATACTGTCTGTCCCCCCCCCCTCTCTCAGGGCATGATGATCGACGAGGCGGATGAGTTTGTGACGGGCCCTCAGAACAAAGGGAAGCGACCCGGAGACAGCAGCAACATGACGGGCGGCGGGCCGAAGAGGCGGCGCTGCATGTCTCCTCTGCTGCGCCTCGGCAGAGCCTACACCCCCCCCGTAACCCCGCCCGCCAGCCCCCGACCAACAGGTAGGATTGATTAAAGCATTTTCAACTAAACGATAAATGGGGCGAAGCCTGCGAGCTAGTTCAGGCAGTCAACTCGAGCACCAATGATACATTAACACGTGACGCGCCTCGTCCCTCTTACAACCAACCAAACACATTCTCCTAAACATGGAGCTCTATTTAATCTGCCAGGTCTTCCTGCCTCTGCCTCACTATGCTGCTGCTGCTGCTGCTGCTGCTGCTGTGTTCACTTGCTATTGCTACGTTCATGTTCCTGCTGCTGTGTTTCATGTCCACCCCAGCTTCCACCCCAGCTTCCACCCCAGCTTCCACCTGTAGGCTCGGGGATAGTTATCTAATCATCACTCATGTTCTTTGTAAATCTGTGGAGTGATGAGGCCCGAGCCTAGACGCCAAACTCAAACTATTTGCTGCTTATAATAAACATATTAAGAAACACGTGAGTGGTCTGACTGAAGTGTTAGAACACTGTGCACCAGCCTACACAGCAAGGCAAGATTATTTATTTGTATATTACGTTGCAGCAGCAAGGCAAATCCAAATGTTTTACTTAAAGCTTCATTTAAAGACACACAAAAAACTGACAGTCAATAACTATTTAGAGAACAGACATTAAAGAGCCAAGAGAATAGGAAATTAGAACAAGCATAATTACAAATAAGACAGATTTGAAAAAATAAAAGTTATATTGCGGTATAAAGAATCTGTAAATGATACAGTATCACTAATGTCTTAAGGCTTTCAGAAAAGTGGTTGTATTGTATGTGTATTGTGCAAAAAATGAAAATGATGATGGAGTCTTAAAACAAGCACTTTTCAAACCAACTTGTCGTTTTCAGCAAAAGTCTCATCATCCCACCTAAATGAATGTTTTGTGCTAAACACATTTTATTTTCTCTGACCCTGCAGACGTGGACATAAGTGACGGAGCGTCTGAACCGGAACTGATCATCAACCACCTGAATCAGAACCACTACAGCTCAGACGAGAGCTCGGACTCGGAGGCGGACCTTCCCTCGGGGCCCGCCGGCCTCCAGGAGAACCACACGCTGGCCTCAGAGGAACAAGAGGAACACGAGGAACACGAGGAGAACGAGGAGCACGAGGAGAACGAGGAGAACGAGGAGGTCCAGGAGCTCCAGCACGGGGATGAGGAGGAGAACGGAGAGCCCGGGGAAGGGGACCTGGTGCTGGACGAAGAGGACGGAGCGGAGCTGGTGATGATGGACGACGACCAGCCGCCACGATACCTGTCGCCCACCGCTCTGAAGAAGCACATCCACATCGAGACCACGAAGGTCAACAACGAGCTGAGGACGCTCATCTACAAGGAGATCAGGAAACCCGGCAGACGTAAGTAGACGAGCTAAATCTGTGGAGGGGTGCTCAAATAAAAGGAACAGGTTATTGTCTTATTGGGGATGATTGTTCTCATACACATGCTTCAGATTGGGACAAATATGTGAATAAAGACATTAGATGAAGGTAAAAACGCTAAAGCACCTTAGTCAATAAATGATATCCTTCGGGACTCCAGCTGTCCTGGAAAACACTGCAATAATTAAGAGAAGATTCTAATGTTTACTCTTTCCTTTGCAGACTACGAGAAGATCTTCCTCCTCCTGAAGCAGATCCAGGGAACTCTGGACACCCGGCTCATCTTCCTCCAAAACATCATCAAAGAGGCAGCCAGGTAGACTTTGTGTCTGTCCGTCTGTCTGTGTGTGTTTGTGTGTGTTTGTGTGTGTGTGTTTGTCTGTCTCTGTGCCTAACCCTATCTTGACCTTCACTGTCCTCACTGTCAGACGGAATAGCCCTAACAGCCTGATCGTGTCCCTTCTGCCCATAAAATGTTTTGGTGTCCATTTCCTGTAAATATCAGTAGATGGTAAAGTAAAAACATTGACTAGGTTTATCATTTTACAGCTGAGCATACTTGCATGATATTGCCTGGAAAAAAGTGGTCTAAGTTCTCACAATGGCCCTCTAAATATGTTGCCCTGAGGCAACGAACAAAAAAACATAGTTTTAGCAAATTAATAAATACATAATAAGTCTTTAAACAATCAAATATACTTATTTTGAAATGTATCTTACCAAGTGGTGGCCCTGAGTCCTCTGCAGTTTTGCTTGCAGAAAGGACTGCTCCACCCCCAGACAAAATGCCACACCCATATAATTCCCTCATTTTATTGGACACCAGCATGTCAGGGGACATTGAAAAAAGTGAAAAAAGTGGTTTGTTGCCTGAGGGCAACAGTATGGAGCCCCCCTGGTGACATTGGTGAGAAAATGCGTGGCCACAAATTAGTTATTATGTTCCCACGCATTAGTAATTTGTGGGAACACAATAATTATTACGCAAATAACTAAATCCAG